AAGAAAAGGATTTTAAATTCAGTAGTCAGGATGATAGGTTAAAAAGGAAACGAGAAAGTGAAAGAACATTCTCTAGGAGTGGTTCTATATCTGTTAAAATCATAAGACATGATTCTAGACAGGATAGTAAGAAAAGCAGTACCAAAGATAGTAAAAAACATTCAGGTTCTGATTCTAGTGGAAGGAGCAGTTCTGAATCTCCAGGAAGTAGCAAAGAAAAGAAGGCTAAGAAGCCTAAACATAGTCGATCGCGATCCATGGAGAAATCTCAAAGGTCTGGTAAGAAGGCAAGCCGCAAACACAAGTCTAAGTCCCGATCAAGGTAGTATACTTTTTAAAGTATTTTGTCTGATTTTTTTTAAAAAATTTGAATTTATTCAAAGTTGAAAGTGTCCTTTCTCTCTCTCTCTTTAATAAACTCAGTTTGGTACTTGATAAATGATCATAGTCTTAAATAACGTTAAAAATACTATATAATATTATTTATTTAAAATTGCAGATTTTTAGTTTAAAATACATTTTTATTTTTAAATTTTGTCTTTTCCCTTTTTTTTGTTTTTTCAGATCAACAACTCCTCCCCGTCGTAAGCGCTGAGGAATGATGTGGCAAGAATGCCATGATGTTGTTTTAAAAAATTCCATGAGTTTTAAGGGCTTGTCTCATTATAGAGGCACATTGTGGCTGTGTAGGTGAAACCAGAATTTTTTTTTTTTTAAATCTGTAAATAGGTGTACTTTTTCCAAATGCTGCTCCAAGTTACTTAATAGGATTTCTTTGTATTACATTTTTTCAAAAAACAGTGCATAATAAGACTATAAACATGCCATTCTCTTTCAGCTGTAATGTTCTTAAAATTATTCTTGAATGTACTGTGATGTCAATAAAGTTCTTTAGTTCATTTTTGTTAAACTCTTGCACCTTAATTTTATGATTTTAATCTAAGGAACGTACTTTAATAAAAAGGCAGCTGGAATTTTGTATAACAGGTTTTAAAGGTACTTCCTCCCACCTCCCCCAAAGAAAATGGTTTTAGCTTAATAGTTTGTTAAAATTTGTAAATTGTATCCATGGACTTTTGTCAAATTCTAACTTTAAGGCTGTGGAAGAGGTCCCAAAATAGACCTTTACTTTTCATTTGGAAGCATTTGACAGCTTTTTAAAGTTTTCTTTCTATTTTGAGGATTTTCAAGTAATATATTTTCTGTGTGTATAAAATATGGTTCACTCCTGTAAAATGAAATTGCTGGAATCAATCAAGCCAGTGCACCAGTAGAATTATTTACAAGGAACAATTGTGTTTGACACTAACAGTCAAGTCTGGAATTGTATTCTGCAGTCACCCAGTTCAGTTTTAGAAGCATCATTAAACACTTTGAGGTTATTATAGAAATAAGAGTCACAATTCAGTATATTTATTTATATTTTTAAAGTGTAATACAACCTTAACTTAATGGAGGAATGCTGTATTATGCAGGTCTTTGTCAGTTTCATAACATTAAAATGGTCTGATTTTGTCAGTTTCTGAAAATTATGATCGGTGAGTGGTCTAGCAGTTTTAGGTAGGCAGTAATAACTTGTGCATAGAATGGGGCTCTTGAGGCATTTTAACTTAAGTGCTCAACTGCTTTCAGGGTCCAATTTCATATTATTCACTTACACAGTGATAGGTGAATTTCTGAAAACAAATGCTTTTAAATTTAATTTAAACAAAAAGCAGGTGCAGGACACAGAAAAGTTTTAAAGTATGCCTTTTTACCAGCAATAGTTCATTTAAAAATAATGCCAGATTTTTGCCAAGATCAGTGTTTCCTCAAAATGAAGATAGAAGTGGATTTGTATAGCGTGCTCTTGTACCTCTGCATAGGTTCTTAAATAATTTTGAACAGTTGTGCATTTATCTAAAGGAGATAAATCAACTGTGAATAAATGCATGTTTACCAAATGGCTGTTTACAGTGCATTTAGTTCTGATATTTATAAAGTTGACATTTCACAGAATAACTGAAATAGTTTGGAATTCTATATAGTTTAGACAACAGTCACATCTGGAGACAAAATAAAGGAAAATGTGCAATATTTTTTATGTAGGTGAGCTAGCACAGTGTACCTAATTGCAGAATTATCTGATTAATTTGTAATAGATAAGTTGTATAGCATTTTCATATCTTAAAATGTTTTTTAGATCAATCTTTAAGTGAAATATTTTCAAAATAAAATTCTACAGAAAAATTCTGCTGGTTATGATATCCACATTTTTGGGCAAGATGTGAAGTAGAGCCAAAAGTAGCATTTGGTAGTTTCATTTACTCTGCCATAATTTGCAAGCCATCATAACATTTGTGATTATTAGTAGATACATCAGTGTTGTAATTAGATATTTGGGTTTTTCAGATTTTTATGGAAAACTTGGGAATTCCTCATTTCCTTGACATGTGATGTAGCGTTTACTTTTACCTTGAGTGGTAAGATTTTATAAAACAGGGCTTCCAAGACTTAGGATGTGAATGCTAAAACTTACATATTAAGTTAATTAGATGTATAATTTGTTTATGAAGTCTTTTCTAAAATGACACCACCAGAAAATTAATAGATTCAATTTTTGAAAGTCATTGGTCTGGATAAATAATAAAAACTGTCTCCTTTATGAGGTTCTCTTTTAAAATGTTTCTAGTGTATTGCTCATACCTGTTTTTGTGGAGTGGGGGGTAAACCACACCATTAAGAGAATAAAATGTAATTTGGAAGAGGTAACACTTATAAGATTTGTTTTAGGCCCCAAAATATAAATAAAGATTGGTGTGGAATTTATTAGCATACATGTTTTCTGAAATTGTATAATGTCTTTTTTTAGCATCTGTTTCTGATGGTGGTAATGCACAACAGATAAATTTCCCAAATGTAGTTTATGTTTAGTGTCTAAGTTACTTTGCTTCTTCAAAGAAACACATGAAGCATAATGGTAGATGAGATTTTTTAATTTATTTGGGAATTTTTACATAGGAGTTGGATTAGGTCCAAAAGTCTCTGTAATATTGCCTTTTGGAAAGTTTTACATTTAAACTGAACTTTTCTTCTCTTACATAAATTTATTGAAGTTTCTAAAATGTACTAAGTTTTACATTGGATTGACCTGGCTCTGCTAATAGATGTGTTTTAGGCAAATCCCTAAATCATTGTGGTCCTCAATTTCTTCAACTGTATAAAAGAGGGATTAGGTTATGTCTAAGGCCTCAGACACTTCTAGCCCTTAAGTTTTTCAATTTTAAGTAGAATTTGGTTGTAATGTCCAAAATCTGAAAGAGAAAATGGGCTTTTTATTAGTTCTTAAAATAGCATACACGTGTTATATTTATACTGTAAATGTTTATTAGGTACCATCCATAGAGTTTTCCTGTAAACACACATTGGTTAAGTTTGGCACATTCTGACTATGATAGTGTAAGTTATGATAGAATTGTTTTAAGTTCCCAATTTATGTAGAATTTTTTGAGTAAATACAAAAACAAGTTAAACTGTGTAGATGTAGTAGTAGTATAACATTTCAAGGGGAGAAAATGTTAGCTGTTAAGGGAGCTTTACCCTTAACTTAGATGGGAAAAAAATATATATGAAATTGAATTACAGAGTATTAAAATTAGAGTTTTATAGAGAAATAAACATGTACACTGTAGTTTACAACACATTTATGGTGAAACCATAGCTATAGTCTGGAAAATACCTCCAAAATTGGCGATATACTGTGTTACAGACTACACAACTTTTTTTCCAACACAACTCAGGTTTAAGGGTCATAGGAGAAGCCTTTTGGTGATGTCTGTAGAGAAATATACTATGAGCCAGTTTTGCGTATCCGTGCCAAACTAGTTCTGAGGGTTCAAAGGGCTTTTGCTTCCTAGCAGTGTTAAGGCAAATCACTGACTGCCTTTGTTGAACTGATGTAGTGTGGAAGGCTCCGAAGCCCAGTGAAGTATGGTACATTCAGAGAAAGTACATTTAAATAAAGCTCTTAGAACTTCATTTAATCATACTTGCACTGTGCTTTTTCCTTGGATCTGTCACTCCAACAAATATAACACATGCTAAGTTTTCTTTTGTGCAGAGCTTTCTGCCTTCATTTGGGGAGATGGTCATGTATCTAAAGAGAGGAGCTCTGAAGAGAACATAGCATCTGAAAAAGTCGGCAATCACTTTTAGTAGGAGGTCAATGGTTTAGCTAAGGAAACATAAGTGAAAGACTATTCTTTAGTGAACTTGACTAATTGAAGGAACTCTACCATTTGACCCTGCCTGTTGAAAAAAAAAAAAATATATATATATATATATTTTTGCCATAAATGTTGGAAATTTATCATTACTCTTACTCAAGGAAAGGCTTTTTTGTACATTTAGAAGTAAAATGTTACTGGTCACTGTTCCTAGCTCTAAATCAAGTTTGCTTGGACTGAGTGATAACAGTTTCCTACTACACAATGTGTATACCCTGTCCAGGATAATAGCAGGTCACCTGCAGAAAATAAATTTCAAATTTGGACTTCTGGCCCTCTGTGATATTTGAGTGCCTTGAAAAGGAAAACAATTCTATCCATAGGGAAGTGTTAACATACTTCTGTGAATCTAAGCATAAGGGTCAGTATCCTACAAGAATATATATAAGTTCCTGGGGAGACAAATGTTAAATACTGTATGCAATAGAGCTACACGGGAATAAAAGCACAAAGTGGCATAATTGACGTCTACTTTGACCATCAGAGGTTTGAGGTGGTCATATAGGAATACGCCATAATGGCTCTTCAGGGTCTTTTATAGTAATAGAAACATTTTATAATTCCATTGCGTGCGCAATTTGCCATATATTGAGCGTGAAAGTAACTAGTCACACACACGATAACAATAATGCAATCATGAAAGTCGACTGTAGGTGGCGAGAGCGGGAGTCGGAACCTTTCTGTTGGGGATCTTTGGCGGAAGGGACCGGAAAAGGGGCAGGATCCTTCATCGCGATGTGGGGAGGCCGTACGCTGAGCTCCTCCGGGGGTCGTTTTTTAGGAGTGCTTGGGTCGGCTTTCCGGCGCAAACAAGCCGAGCGTCCTCGTGTAACCTCGTGGACGGGTGAGTGTGAGTGCGGGAGTCCCTCGCGCGCAGCCCAGCGACGGCGACTGGCGGTTCTGCGCAGGCGCGGTGAGGGCAGTGGCTGTTCTGGAGTCCGCGCGGCCTCCGGTCAGCACGAAACCCACGTCTTTTCTCGGAGCTTTAGCTCTCTTTTGAACGGCCGGCCTGTGCCATCGTCCTCCATTGGCAGAGGTGGAGAAAAGAGCTGAGGACTTTTCTTGGCCCGGGAGGGCGCAGCCCGCGTGCGGCCGCCATGTATTCAACGACCTTTGTCTCGTCTTGGTTGGGCTCCTTGCCCTGGGAGCCGGCGACCCCTCTGTATGCAGCAGTCTCAGGGTCTTGCTTCCTTCCTTTGCCAGGCGGTGAAGGCACACCAGCTGGTTTCTCGGAGTTATTCATAGCGATGTATCTTTGTTTTGTTTGCACATATTTTGCCTTTTTAAGAAAGAATTTAAGGCACGTATACTACTTTTTGATTAATAGGTTAATAGGCTAATTCGACAGACTACGTGTCTTTTATGACATATACGTATAATCAGAAATTTAGAAAAGATATAACAGAACTATTTCCAGTTGGGGGCGGGGTGTTGAACATAGAATGAGCATATAATCCATATTTGGGATCAGGGAAACTTTTTGAATGAGGTATTTACAGAACAGTCTTGAAGAAGTCGGTCAGTTTTAGAAGCAGTTAGAGAGGCCAAAAGATCAGCTTGAGAATCTGGGAGGATGTTTCTGGGAAATGGCAAAGTGTTCATTGAAAAGTAAAGTTTGTGGATGGAAGGCAGCAGGTCAGGGCAGGGAGTGACGATGGATGAGACAAGAGACCTTTTAGCCATGACAAGTTCGTGAAAGGCCACATACACCTCCTGAGGTTGACTTTATTCTAGGACAGTGGAAATAACTGAAGGAGCAACATGATCAGACTTAAGTTTAAGAGATAACGCTTGGTAGCTGTGTACAAAGTGAGATGGAGAAAGGCAAGTCTAGGCTCACGGAGGCCTTAGAGTAATCCAGACAATAAATGATTGCTGGAAATAAGGTATTGGCAGAGTAAAGATCTGTTGCCTATCCTGTTCACTGTCGGCATGATGCCTGATAGGTGCTGAGTAAATGACTTTTGAATGAATTAAATTTTTAAAAAATTCCATTTCTTTAAAATCTCAAATACCAGGATGATTACAGATTTAAGGAACAGAAGGAATTAATAACATCCTGTTTATTAATGCAAACTCAGTCTCTTTCAGTTGTGGTAAGGTGGTTTTTAAAATACTTGAGAATTCTGGAAATAATGATGACTGAGGCATTCATTTTCCAGGAATAGAGGTAAGAAGGAGATCCGGGGTTGTCTCTGAGAAGGGGGCAGGTACTGTCAACATTTCAACAGCTCAGTTTCATAATAATAATATTTATATATTCTTATATATGTATCACAATTTATGTAATTTTTAAATAATATTTCATCTACCTAAAGTCATAAGGAAGTGATATTTCAACTGGGTCTTAAAAGGTAGCCCAGATTCAGTTAATGGAAGGGGGAATATCACGCACGAGCAAAACCCTAGAAGCATGCAAGAACTTTTTTTTCTTTTTTGAGAACATTGGAATGGATTTGGGCCAGACTATGAGAAGCCTATTTAAAAACCAAATCAAACAAAACATACATGAAGAGCTCAGGAGAAAAATATGCAGAGACTGTGAAAAGACAATACATGAAATATAAATGGCCATTAAAGGATGCTTAACTTCAATCATGATAAAACTACACTGATATACCATTTTCACCCATTCTGTTAGCAAGGATAAAAACATTTGATTAACATGTTGTATGAGTGACGGTGTGGGGAAATAAGCACTAGACACTCATAATATGTAGGAGATTGTAAAGTGGTTCAACATCTACGGATGGCAGTTACAAATTTACAAATACACATACCCTTGACATAATCCTTGGGATTTAACTTTCAGGTACTCTCAAACACATGTGAAATTACCTATGTAATTCAATCTCATGGTTTTGGTAATAGCAAAAAATTAGAAATAAATGACCATTAATAGGGAGCTGCTTAAGTAAATTATGATATAGCCATATGTATTTGTCTGTTTGTATTGCTATAACAGAAATACCTGAGACTGGGTAATTTATAAAGAACAGAGGTTTATTTGGCTTACGATTCTGGGACAGCTGCATCTGACATGGGCCTCAGGCTGCTTCTACTCATGGTGGAAAGCGGCAGGCAGCCGGCAGATCACATGGCGAGAGGAGGAGAGAGAGAGAGAGAAAAGAAAATGTGCTTTATCAAGTATATGAATTTGTGTAACAACCATCACAATCAGGATACAGAACCGCAAAGAAACTTCCAGGTGCTACTCATTCAAAATCAGACCCTATCCCCAACACTAATCCTTGACATTCACTGTCTTCTCTATAATTGTACCATTACAAAAGTATTATATAAATGGAATTGTACAGTCTGTACCTTTTGAAATGGAGTTTTTTTTTTCCCACTCAGCATAAATACTGTTGAAATTCATTCAAGTTATATGTACCAATAATCCATTCCTTTTTTTTTTTTTTCCTTTTTGTCTTTTTTCGTGGCCGGCAACGGATCGCAACCCTCAGTGTCGCGCCCGTACCGGACCGGGACCAGCAACGGGATCGCAACCCTTGGCGTTGCCCCCGCACCTCGCTCAGCCAGTGAGCAGGAACCGGTCTGTATGTGGGATCTGAACCCTCGGCGGGAGCGCCACTGCGCTTCCCAAGCGGCGCACTATCGCATGCGCCACCGGGCTGGCCCTAATCCATTCCTTTTTATTTCCGAGTAGTATTTCATGATACAGGTACACCACAATTTAACAAATCACCTATTGTGTATTTTTGTTGTTTCCCATTTAGGGCTCTTATAAACAAATCTGCTAAGTATGTTTGTGTACAGGTTTTTTGTACACAAAACCTCACTTCTCTGGGATAAATGCCCGGGGAGGGCTGACCAGTCAGCTAAGTTGGTTAGAGCATGGTGCTGATGACACCAAGGTCCAGGATGCGATCCCTGTGCCAGCCAGCAGTAAAAAAAAAAAAAAAAAAAAAAACAAGTTCAGGGAGTGTAATTGTTGAGTTATGTGGTGAGTGTATGTTTATTAGGAACTGCTAAGCTGCTTTACAGAGTGGCTGTATCATTTTACATTCCCATTACACATGGGAATATATAAGAGCTCTAGTTGTTTCCTATCGTGGTCCACACTTGGTAATATCAGGATCTTTAAATTTTAGCCATTTTGATATGTCTGTGTTGGTATCTCACTATGGCTTTCATTTCCTAATGGCTATTGATATTGAACATTTCTTTATGTGCTTATTTGTATCTGAATATCCTCTTTGATGAAGTGTCCATGTCTTTTTATGCCCATTTTATAATACCCACACCCATTTTATAATTGGATTGCTTGTTTTTTGGGGGAAAAGTGGCTGTTTTTGTTTTTTGGTTTTTTTATAACTAAAGGCTTTATTGGGAAAGGGACATTAACTGAAAAGTGGCCTCCAATATCCTCACTGCCTGAGGCAGGGGGGCCTCCTCCACAAAGTCCAAGAAAGAAGGGATCACCAAACTGGGCCCTCAGGCTCAGATGTAAAGGTCAAAGTCAATGCGTTTGGAGTTGTAGAACTGACCACCCAGAGGGGTCCAACTTCTGGCAATAAATACCATCTGGGAAGTAGCCTTCACTCACCCAGGTCTGCATCTGGGTGCTGGTGAAGGGCCCATACAGCTCAGCATCCCCTGTGTTCTCCCACTTATACTCCCACATCATGTCCACCAGACCATCTCCTGGCAATTCTGCTTCTCCTCTCTGGGTAGGGTTTGAGGTCTCCAGCTCCCCCTCTACCACTTCCTTAGCAAACATGTCCATGGAGGGTGGGGGCATGGGATCAGGGGGTCCCTGGGTCTTTCAGGCGCATGGCCCAGGCCCATGGCCAACTGTTCCCTCATTTCCTGGTATACGCCAAGGTTGCCCCAGGCCACCATCTGGTCAGCCAACCCGGAGAGCCAGTCCAGGCTCTGGGGGGAACTGGGCCACCCAGGCCCCTTGTTGGCCCCTTTGCTTCCTCCTTGGGCCCTCAAACCCCTCAGTGCCCCAGCCACTGTCTCTGGGCAACAGCAGTTCCAGTATCTCTCCAGGAGGGCTTGGGCACTTGTTTGTGTGTGGCCTAGGCTGTCCTCCTCCTCTGAGTCTGAGGCCTGGTGTTGATCAGGTGGCCGCTCCCTGATCAACAGTCAGTGTTGTCCAGCCAGCTGTCTCGGATCTGAGCATCCCGGTTCAGGAAGTAGTTGCCATCAGCATCAAACTGGCCTTCCTCCATCTCTTCCTGTAGGTTGAAGGGTGTGATCCGCACATCCCCCTCGCTGGGGAGTGTGGCTGCTTCCTGACCTTCTACATCCTCTGAAGCCGGGATGTCATATTTGCTGGATCCCTCCTCATCATCCTCCTCCTCATTGCTGTCCAGAGAGTGTTTGCCTTTGAAACGGCTCCCAGGACCCCCTGCCCCAGCCACAGGGTCCACCAGCTTCTTCTCGGGGACACTGAATTCGTCCTCATCATCTTCATCTCCCACGCCTTGGAAGGTCACTTTCCTCTTTGGCATGATGGGACAGAGAGACCGTCTTCAAGCTGAGCTGAGGATCCATGGAGGGAGGGAAAGAAAAGCAGAGATGGTTTCTCCAGGGCTACATCTGGGGCACCCCCTGTTTTTGTTTTTTACTGTTGAGTTTATTAGAGTTATGTATTCTGGATACAAGTCCTTTGTCAGACATGTGTTTTGCAAGTATTTCCTCTCGGCCTGACCTGTCTTTTCTTTTTCTTAGCAAGGTCTTTTGTAAAGCAAAAGTTTTTAATTTTAATTAAATCCAATTTAATCAATTTTTTTTTTCTTTTATGGATTGTGCTTTTGGTGTCATGTGTAAGAACTCTGTGCCTAAGTCTAAGTCACTAAGCTTTTCTCCTAC